GAATGCAGTTAGAAACATCATTTTAACTATTTTTTAGAATAAAGACATGCTCTTCGTAACAAAACTAACATTCATAGAAGCAATATCATTTTCGTATGACTCCCTGATTTTCTTCATGATCTCTTCCTCAGCTTTGGCACATGTCTCAACATTGCCTTTAACTGTAATGGTACGTTCCGGATTATACAGCGTCAATTCCTGCAATCTGCAGAGTGAGAAAGAAGGGAAAGAAAAAGAATGAAAATTGTAGAAAGAAGGCAGTTAATAATAATTCTGCCACCCATGGCAATTAAAAACAAACTGTGGAGCTTGGTAATAGGTAAAAGTGGGTGGTAAAACATGATGGGAAATGAGTAAGCCCCAAAAGACATAAATCCAAAATTGTAAAGCTGCAAGAGAGAAGAAAATACTTGGCCTCCCATCTTTTCAAGTAAAGATTACCGGGTACATATAGATCAATCAAGTCCGTCTTTTAAATATAGCTTACTTCTCAACCGCTTAAAGTTGAACCATTTTCACAATTAAACAGTGAATGGAAAAATGACTGGAAAGATGTATAGTTTTTTGGAAACCATATAATCTAAGTACATAACCTTTCATAAGTATGTTCCTAGTCTGGACTAACCAATTGTAGGCATAATTGGCATTCTCGTGCAATTGTATTTTCTGGCTCACCAAGCAAGGAGAAAGAATGAAAATACTGAAAACCACAAGCCAAACTTCACGTGTTTAAACTAGTTTTTACCAGTTTTTTTTTTTTTTTTTTGAATTTAGTTTGAAGTAGGCTGGTGGAATATCAGTCCATCTTGAGTAAAATTTACAATGGTTCACTGGTGGCCATTTAGACAACAAAAACGTTAGACAGCAGCAACAATATTCAGACACTCCCTGCGGGACCTAAGTTTAGTTCCTTGCTGAACTTTCAAAGGCCACTAAAAATCAGACCTGAAAACACCTAAGCCTATGCAGGAAAGCAGTGAGAGATACCTGCCATGGAAAACAGAACTAAGTATACAAATTGAGAGGATATGGGTTATTGGTACAAATCTCCTTCATCTTCCTGAAGTTCTTATTTTCACAACTAGTAAAATGTCACAGCTTAACCTTGAGACAGATGAATGGGAAGTTATTCCTTAATATTTTCCTAAAACTTGCTAAAAATATGAACATTTATATAATAAAGACGATTTCTCTTAGACTACTTCAAAAAGAAGTATATAATTCTAATTCAGTCTGAACCTGGCCCTGCCAAGGATTCTGTATTACAGTTTTTAAATAGCTGTTTCTAGAATCACTGTTAAGATTTTTTTCTTTTAAAACCCTCCCCTTTCTGGGGGTAAATTTAAGACAAAGTGGTATTACCGTATTTAACACTTTGTGGGTTTTCTTCCTTTCTTTACAACCAAACCGAAGTTTCCTGCTTCTGTACTACCTCCTTTGAAAACTTGCTACACAACACTGTGGATCAGTCTTTCCCCTACCATTCTTCCTCAGTTCATCAATCGTTTCCCACTGTTTTGAGTACTCTGACTGAAACTAAGAATAGTCACCCTCAGAAAAAGAAAAACCTTTCTATGTAATTTCAGACCATCCAGATTCTAGGTGTGGTAGCCTGTCTCCAAGGTGATTCCCTGCCACCCAGTTATCTGCAGTCCCCCACATACGTACCAAACAGGGCTGACTTATGTAAACAATATTAGAAAAATGATAGAGTGTAACTTCTGAGGCTATGTTATAAAAGACAATGCAGTCTCCATCTTGACAGCTGCCATGTCTTGAGGACACTCAAGCAGCTCTGTGGAGAGGCCCATGTGGAAGGAACTGAGGCCTCCTGCCAACAGCCAGCATCGACTTGTCAGTAGCATCATGACACCCCAAGCCAGAACCACCCATAAAAACTAGCTGAGCAATTAGTGTTCTCCATTGTCTTAAGCTGTCAAATGCTGGCATAATGCATAACACGACAAAGGATAATAAACTGGGTTACATATTCCAACGCTGGGAATAAATGTCATAAAACATTGTTAAGACTGCGTTTAGAAAACATGAATGTGGCCAGGCGTGATGGCTCATGCCTGTAATCCAAGCACTTTGGAGGCCAAAGCGGACGGATCACTTGAGGTCGGGAGTTCAAGACCAGCCTGACCAACATGGTGAAACCCTGTCTTGAAAAATATATATATATATATATATATATATATATTAAAGAATCCTGCATGTTTTCCACATGTACCCCAGAACCTAAAGTGCAATTAACATATATATATATATATATATATATATATATTAAAGAAAACATGAATGTAAAGCATTTGGTTCCTCCTGCCAGAAGCAGATAATAAGCTTTCAGTATGGGGTCAGAAATGTAGCAGGCAGCAGGCTGCGTCTGAGAAACCATGTGTAAGTACAGTAGCACAGGCTAGCTGAAGCAGCTGTAAAGTGGGAAGCCAAGCCCAATATACAACATGCAGCGTATTACAGGGTTTGAAAGTTTTCTAATTCAAAAACAAAGGAGCACTCACGGAGATATCGTGATTTTAGTGTCTGTGTCTTGCTCAATTTTTTTAAGGTTTCTTCCTTCTTTACCAATAAGACGGCCAACAAAGTTGTTATGAGCTAAAATCTTCAAGGGGATCTCTTCTGTGCTGTAAATAGAAAAATAGTCATAAAATTAGAATAAGTAAGCCTATTATTGGGTAAAAAGACAACATTCACACATTAAACATATACTTTCTATCTGCCATCTGGGAAGCACTATGTTAGGAACAGCTTAAAACTTGCTGACAATTGGCCAGCATTCTAGCAATGCATGAATAGAAGGGGAGGAAAAAATGCAGAAGTTACTTTTAAAACAGTTTTATTCACTTCAGGAAATATCTTCAGTGATGGAGTCTCTTACTCAAAACCATATTCCTTAAGCCCTACTACCAAAACACAATGTACAAATAAACAATGGTAAAATTCCAGTATAAATATACACCTGGAGATATGTGCATAATTTATAGAAGAAACAATGGTTACGCTTTGGAGAAAGGAGAGCTCTCACTTTTCATTTTGTAGCTTTCTGAATTTCCAAGTCTCATTCATATATATATATTTCACTGTTTAAAAATGTCATGCGGTTAATAGATGGTGGGCTTTTCCTTTACTTTTCTCTTTTTTGAGATGGAGTCTTGCTCTGTCTCCAGGCTGTAGTGCAGTGGCACGATCTCGGCTCACTGCAACCTCTACCTCCTAGGTTCAAGCAATTCTCCTGCCTCAGCCTCCCGAGTAGCTGGGACTACAGGTGTGTGCCACCACACCCAGCTAATTTTTTGTATTTTTAGTAGAGACAAGGTTTCACTGTGTTACCCAGGATTGTCTCGATCTCTTGACCTCACGAGCCACCCGCCACGGCCTCCCAAAGTGCTGGGATTACAGGCGTGAGCCACTGTACCTGGCCTATTTTTCTCTATACTAAAATAATTACATTCTTTAAAAAAATTTTTACTTTAATATTTTAAATGGCACCCATATATAATATTATTAAAACATATTTAAAGTTTTCTACAAATTAAGGTTGGTGATGAGGTCCCCACACTAACTCCAGTGCCCTACTCTGGATTCTACTTTCAGTGCAGCCCTGTTCTATATGCTAAATGTGGCACAGAACCCAACCTTCACTCAAAGTTCCTGGAACAACTATTTAGAATTCCAGCCCAAATACGTCTCCAGTTTGCCTTAGAAGAGACTTAGGCACTTTCCCACCTCCACACTCCCTGCTGCTCCAAGGTGGGGCTGGGCAGAGGACAAGGAAAAAGCTCCAATGAGCTCTGAGTAAAAGATGAGTCAAGATTTGGGGCTTCTGTCTTGGGTTAATCCAGGATACCTCCTTGTTCTAGGTTCCCCAAGTTGCTTACTTTTATAGCTGCACTTCTCTTCTCCATTGTCACCACTTGTCCCATGTTCAAACATGAATGAAACTATTTAAATATTAAAAGACTTAATGCTTCACAACCAAATCAACAGTGCCAACCACTGTAGCTCATCAGGATATTTCCCTTTGTTTGTTGGCAATTCCTAAGAACTGAGTCAGACAAATCCAAAATACAAGAGCACAAATAACCTCTTTCACAAGACAGTCTTCTTTACTCACAATTTTATATCTTGAGCTTCCTTATGCATAATCTCCAGAATAGACTTACAAGCCGCAGAGGTGCCTTCAGGGGTAGAGAGGATAGTAATCGACTTCTCAGCAGCCCCTGCATTCTCTTTACGGTGGACATCAATTCTGACAGTAGGTGCAAGCAGAGAGGAAAAGAGAACCGTAAGGGTGTATTCACAGTGGAGTCTGTAATTACCAACTGCAAAGTCACAGGGCTTCAGCACAAAGCAGATGACTCACTTCCCTCAAGAGCATAAACTTTCAATAAGCTGTCAACATTAATGCCTTACGAGACAAATTTTAATTCTAGAAACACTCCCCTTTCTCCTTCCTCAATCCAACCAAGCAGGGACATCTTTCCATTCTACCCAAGCTGTTTGTGCTTACAGCTTCCTTTTAGATGCCACAGAACAAATGTCTTATGACAAAGAGCCTGGATTCAATCTGCTGTAAAACAAATAGGAACTGGAGGGCATGCCAAGAGAGGAGTTGGAATCCCACAAGCCAAGTTGAACTGTTTATTCTGCACAGTATATCCACCATTCATTCATTCATTGGATGAGCAGATTTCACCAACCTGTTTCCCCTTTGCAAGGTTCTTCCCACATTCTGCCTCCTTGATAGAGGAAAGTCTGCAACAGATAGTGATAGGAATAGGAACCTGGAGAGAGGCAATTCTACTTCGAGAAAAGCATGGCCAATAAACTCACAATGATGTTTAATTTCACTAGTAATTAAATGTGTGCCAGTTAAAAGAATGTCATTTTATTCTAGACTTGCAAAAAATTGAGATAGAAAAAAATTAAATATGGGCAAGATGATGGGTAACAGGGCACACCCAGTACTTTTGGTGCAAGTATAGAGCAAACTGGTCAGCAAAATGCTGAGTATCTCATGGCTCAAGAGCTGTACTTCGATTTCAGCCCGACTGCCGGAGTCAGAGGATTCGCGGGTGAGATCCCCAGCCCTGTGAGTCTGTAGGAGAAGATGGCCCCCCAGATGTATGAGTTCCATTTGCCATTATCCCCAGAGGAGTTGTTGAGAAGTGGAGGGGTGAATCAGTATGTTGTGCAAGAGGTACTGTCCATCAAACATCTTCCACCACAGCTTAGAGCATTTCAGGCTGCCTTCCGAGCTCAGGGGCCCCTGGCTATGCTGGAGCACTTTGATACTATCTACAGCATTTTACATCACTTTCGAAGTATAGATCCTGGCCTCAAAGAAGATACTCTGGAATTCCTGATAAAAGTGGTATCCCGCCACTCCCAGGAGCTTCCAGCTATCCTGGATGATACAACCTTGAGTGTATCAGATCAAAATGCTCATCTAAATGCCCTCAAAATGAACTGTTATGCTCTGATATGACTCTTGGAATCCTTTGAGACCATGACCAGCAGACAAACCTCATGGACCTGGACCTTGGTGGGAAGGGTAAGAAAGCTCGGACCAAGGCAGCCCATGGCTTTGACTGGGAAGAAGAGAGGCAACCACTTCTTCAGCTTTTAACACAGCTACTTCAGTTGGAAATCCGTTACCTGTGGAACCACTCAATAATTGAAGAAGAATTTGTCAGTTTGGTTACTGGCTGTTGCTACTGCCTTCTGGAGGATCCCACTATTAGTCACCAGAAGAACCGCCCCACTCGGGAAGCCATAACACACCTGCTTGGTGTAGCCTTGACCCGTTACAACCATATGCTCAGTGCCACGGTGAAGAATCATCCAGATGCTGCAGCACTTTGAACACCTGGCACCTGTACTACTTGCAGCTGTGAGTCTATGGGCAACTGACTATGGAATGAAGAGCACAGTGGGAGAGACTGTAAGAGAGATTGGACAAAAGTGTCCCCAAGAGTTGAGTCAATATCCTTCAGGGACAAAGGGCTTTGCAGCATTCCTGACAGAATTAGCAGAACGTGTCCCAGCTATCCTGATGTCTAGCATGTGCATTTTGCTAGATCACCTGGATGGAGAGAATTACATGATGTGTAATGCTGTGCTAGCAGCCATGGCAGAGATGGTACTGCAGGTTCTGAATGGCTGCTTCCACAGCCCGAGACACCAGCGACCAGTTCTTGGATACTTTACAAACCCATGGCCGTGATGTCAACTCCTTTGTGTGGAGCCGTGTTTTGCAGCTCTTCACCCGAATTGGCCAGCAGAAGGCTCTCCCCCCGACACGTTTCCAGGCAGTGGTGGCTTTAGCTGTGGGACGTCTGGCAGACAAGTCAGTGCTGGTAATGTAAAAATGCCATCCAGCTGCTGGCCAGTTTTCTAGCCAATAATCCTTTTTCCTGCAAGCTTAGTGATACTGACCTTGCTGGACCACTGCAGAGGGAGACCCAGAAATTACAGGAGATGAGGGCCCAGAGGCGAACTGCAGCTGCTTTTTTTTTTTTTTTTTTTTTTTGAGACGGAGTTTCACTCATGTTACCCAGGCTGGAGTGCAATGGCACGATCTCGGCTCACCGCAACCTCCGCCTCCTGGGTTCAGGCAATTCTCCCTCAGCCTCCTGAGTAGCTGGGATTACAGGCACGCGCCACCATGCCCAGCTAATTTTTTGTATTTTTAGTAGAGACGGGGTTTCACCATGTTGACCAGGATGGTCTCGATCTCTTGACCTCGTGATCCACCCGCCTCGGCCTCCCAAAGTGCTGGGATTACAGGCTTGAGCCACCGCGCCCGGCCTGCAGCTGCTTTTGCAGTGCTGGACCCAGAGGAGGAGTGGGAAGCCATGCTGCCAGAGTTGAAGTCTACCCTGCAGCAGCTTCTCAAGCTTCCCTAGGGAGAGGAGGAGATTCCTGAGCAAATTGCCAATACAGAGACCACTGAAGAGGTGAAAGGACACATCTATCAACTGCTTGCCAAAGCTAGTTACAAACAGGCCATCATTCTCACTCGAGAAGCCACAGGACACTTACAGGAGTCCGAACCCTTCAGTCATATAGACTCAGAGGAGTCAGAGGAGACCGGGCTCTTGAATATCTTAGGAATTACCTTCAAAGGCCCAGCAGTTTCCACACAAGAAAAGAATCCCCAGGAGTCTACAGGAAACATGGTCACAGGACAGACTGTCTGTAAAAACAAACCCAGTGTGTCAGAGCCTGAGGAATTGAGGAGAAATGACAAACTGGTGAAGCAGGAGATGCTGCTGCAGTATCTGCAGGATGCCTGTAGCTTCTCCCGGAAGATTACGGAGGCCACTGGCATCATCAGCAAGATGATGTATGAAAACACAACTACAGCGGTGCAGGAGGTGATTGAATTCTTCGTGATGGTCTTCGAATTTGGGGTACCCCGGGCCCTGTTTGGGGTGCGCCACATGCTGCCTCTCATCTGGTCTAAGGACCCTGGTGTCCAGGAAGCTGTGCTTAATGCCTATCGCCAACTCTACCCCAACCCCAAAGGGGACTCTGCCAGAGTCAAAGCCCAGGCTTTGATTCAGAATCTCTCTCTGCTGCTAGTGGATGCCTCGGTTGGGACCATTCAGTGTCTTTTTGAGGAAATTCTCTGTGAGTTTGTGCAGAAGGATGAGGTGAAACCAGCAGTGACCCGGCTGCTGTAGAAACAGGCCACCGAGAAGGTCACCTGCTCTCCTCTAGAACGCTGTTCCTCTGTCATGCTTCTTGGCATGATGGCACGAGGAAAGCCAGAAATTGGGGGAAGCAATTTAGACACACTGGTGGGCATAGGGCTGGATGAAAAGTTTCCACAGGACTACAGGCTGGCCCAGCAGGCATGCCATGCCATTGCCAACATCTCTGACAGGAGAAAGCCTTCTCTGGGCAAACGTCACCCCCTCTTCCGGCTGCCTCAGGAACACAGGTTGTTTGAGCGACTGCAGGAGACGGTCACAAAAGGCTTTGTCAACCCAGACCCACTCTGGATCTCATTCAAAGAGGTGGCAGTGACCCTCATTTACCAACTGGCAGAGGGCTCCGAAGTGATCTGTGCCCAGATGTTGCAGAGCTATGCAAAATAGGCCCTGGAGAAGCTAGAAGAGAAAAGAACCAGTCAGGAGGACCCAAAGGAGTCCCCCCGCAATGTTCCCCACTTTCACGTTGATGAACCTGTTGTCCCTGGCTGGGAAGGTGGCTCTGAAGCAGCTGGTCCACTTGGGGCAGGCAGTGAGTGGAGAGCTTTGTTGGTGCCGAGTTCTCCGGGAAGGACAGGAGCACAAGACCAAAGATCCCAAGGAGAAGAATACAAGCCCTGAGACTGCCACGGAGGAGGAGCTGGGGCTGGTTGGGGCAACAGCAGATGACACGGAGGCAGAACTGATCCGCGGCATCTGTGAGATGGAACTGTTGGATGGCAAACAGACCCTGGCTGCCTTTGTTCCACTCTTGCTTAAAGTCCGCAACAATCCAGGCCTCTACAGCAACCCCAACCTCTCTGAAGCTGCTTCACTTGCCCTTGGCAAGTTCTGCATGATCAGTGCCACTTTCTGCGAATCCCAACTTTGTCTTCTGTTCACCATGCTAGAAAAGTCTCCACTTCGCATTGTCCGGTCTAACCTCATGGTTGCCACTGGGGATCTGGCCATCCGCTTTCCCAATCTGGCGGACCTCTGGACTCCTCATCTATATGCTCGCCTCCGGGACCCTGCTCAGCAAGTGCGGAAAACAGTGGGGCTGCTGATGACCCACCTGATCCTCAAGGACATGGTGAAGGTGAAGGGGCAGGTGAGCGAGATGGCGGTGCTGCTCATCAACCCCGGGCCTCAGATTGCTGCCCTGGCCAAGAACTTCTTCAACGAGCTCTCCCACAAGGGCAACGCAATATATAATCTCCTTCCAGATATCATCAGCCGCCTGTCAGACCCTGAGCTGGAGGTGGAGGAAGAGCCTTTCCACACCATCATGAAGCAGCTCCTCTCCTACATCACCAAGGACAAGGAGAAAGAGAGCCTGGTGGAAAAGCTGTGTCAGCGATTCTGCACAGCCCGAACTGAGTGGCAGCAGCGGGACCTGGCCTACTGTGTGTCACAGCTGTCCCTCACAGAGCGAGGCCTCCGCAAGATGCTTGACAATTTTGACTGCTTTGGAGACAAACTGTCAGCTGAGTTCATCTTCAGTGCTTTTTTTTGTCAGTTGTGGGCAAGCTGCGACGTGGGGCCAAGCCTGACGGCAAGGCTATAATAGACGAATTTGAGCAGAAGCTTCGGGCCTGTCATACCAGAGGTTTGGATGGAATTGAGGAGCTTGAGATTAGCTAAGCAGGTAGCCAGAGAGCCCCGTCAGCCAAGAAATCATCCACTGTTTGTAGGCACCAGCCTCTGCCTTCTGCAGCCTCAGACAGTGACTTTGTCACACCAGAGCTCCGCCGTACTACCCGTCGCCATCCAAACACCCAGCAGCAAGCTTCCAAAAAGAAACCCAAAATTGTCTTCTCAAGTGATGAGTCCAGTGAGGAGGATCTTTCAGCAGAGATGACAGAAGAGGAGACACCCAAGAAAACAACCTCCATTCTCAGAGCATCGGCTCGCAGGCTCAGATCCTAGGAGTGGCCTTGCCCATTCCTGACCTCCCTGTGCAGGGTATCTTGTACCGTGGGCCTGGAATTCCAATTCTGTGCCCCTTGTAAAATACTTATCTGTCTCCTTTTTTAAAAAAAATACGCAGTCTTTAAAATGAAAGTCCTTTCTCTTAAATTAGCCTAACTGAACTGTGTTGAGCTGCTTTCACTTTGGAATATATGTTTGCCAATCTCCTTGTTTTCTAATGAATAACTGTTTTTATATACTTTTAGACAAAAAAAAAAAAAAAAAAAAAAAGAACTGTACTTCCTGTAACATCTACAGATATAGTCTCATACATGGGCTAAGAGTGATGTTTCTTACCATTGGCACTACTGACTTTTTTGGGTCAGATTCTTTGTTGTGCATAGGGTGTCTGGTGCACTGTAGGAAACTGACTAACACCCCTGGCCTCTACCTACTAGATGCCAGTAGCATGCCCCTTTCCCAGCTCTCACAGCAAAAAATGTCTCCAGATATTGCCAAATGTCCATGGAGGTTGGGGTGGGGCGCGGGGATGATCATTTGTGGTTGACAACCACTGGCATGGGAAAGTTCTGTTTCTAACAGACAAAAAGAAAATTAGAATTTCTAACTACAGGAAGAGATGGTTAAACACAGGAAGAGATGCTTAAATAACAATATATTCATATCATCAGATGTTTTTGAAAATGTGGTAAAATTAAGGGTACCAACACAGTAAAAAGTCCTTAACTGAAATAATGCAATTCATACCATGATATGACATGTTAGTAAATACAGTCAACAAGTCCTATTGAGATACATCCCCAACTTACCAATGGTTACCCAGGTGAGACAAATGGTAACTTTTAAATTTACATATTTATGCATTTTAAATTAAGTACAAAATAAGTCTGATGTTATTTAAAAAGCACAAGAAAGAAAATCAGCTAATCAAAAAGTATGTATTTTTGGGAAAATTAAGTATTTGTTGAGTTCCTTTGGCCACTCAAACACTTGAAGATAAAGAGCTAAGTAACTAATGGCCCTGAGAGTTGCCATTTGATCATGCCAATAAAAATCAAGATTTGGCTTTCATTTTTGTAACGTTTGGTTGAAACCTGAAGATTTACCTCAAGAGTTAAAGATAGAACTAAAAATAAGGGCAACAAAGAAATGAAACAAATTCTAGCCGGGCATGGTGGCTCACGCCTATAATTCCAGCACTTTGGGAGGCCGAGGCAGGTGAATCACAAGGTCAGGAGTTTGAAACCAGCCTGGCCAACATGGTGAAACCCCATCTCTACTAAAGACACAAAAATTTAGCCCAGCGTGGTGGCGTGTGCCTGTAATCTCAGCTACTTGAGAAGCTGGGGCAGGAGACTCGCTTGAACCCAGGAGGCAGAGGTTGCAGTGAGCCAAGATCACACCATTGCACTCCAGCCTGGATGACAGGGCGAGACTCTGTCTCAAAAAAAAAAAAAAAAAAAAAGAAGAAATGAAATAGATTAAGGGCTACCTAAAAATAACTAATAAAAAAATAGCGTCTTAGACAACAGTCCCAATCTTAAGAGTCCTCTTCTCAGCTGCTGTTTCAGTCACCGGTCACTGTCAGTGATACCTGTCTTCCAGTAACATGTTAGCATCCTTCTTTGCAGTTTATTTCCACCCTTTCACTGTGTTAGGGATTACTAAAATCCAATCCCCTGAGAGAAGGGAATGTGGCTTTGGAGATTAGGGTGGTCCTCTGAGACCATTCCAGAAACAGAGGTTCTGATAATGACTAATTTTGATATCAAGAGTTAATTAAGTCCACTGGCAGAGTTCTGCAAATGAATCATCAGATATAACAAAAATTGCTTCCCTTCCCCTATCCCCATCTTCCTGCTTAAGTAAAACAAACAGTTCGATTTAAGTCACAGCTCTTTCATCTGACAGGGAAATGAGTAGCTCGAAAAGGACAACTCTAATCTGCTACATGACAAGGAAAGGAAATCATATAATGAATTTCTGCAGGTAATGGTGGATCAAGGGAAGCAAGAAGCCCTTAAATTTTAAGATGAAAGCCAGGCTGACTGACTAGGCTATGGTCCAATTGTCTTTCCCACTCCTACATGATGAGGTCAGGACCATTAATTCTATATTCAGGTAACCAGCACCCAACATCTTCTGCTTCAAAGCAAGGGAAAGCAGGATCAGATGCCAGTGCAGGGGGCGGGTGGGTATGGACCACAACTCAGTACAGTTCTTTTTGGTTCTGCATGAGAAATGGGTCAGCTAGTCCAATGCAGGCATGGTGCCTATGATGAATATGCATGTCCTTTAAGGCCGGCTGGAACAAACACATTAGCAATGTATACATAGCAGCGTAGTCCTAACTTTTAAAGAAAGACTAAGCTTATTTCCTTGGATCTCATTTAAAAAAAACCATTCTCCTTTCTAAATTTAAAAGGCAAAATAATCCTGTCATTTCTGTAGCTGGTCCAAAGCTTGCAGAATGGCATTTTTGGATACAACCTCTTCTTCCCAGCACACTCACAGGTTCTTCAGGAAATACGGTAGTGTGCTCGCTTGGGCAGCACATATACTAAAAAATAGGAAATACAGTAGTAACAACAGGGCCAGAGATGTGCCTTGTAGCACATTACAGAGATAGGTATGTGGCAGAGAGTTTGTCACCAAGCTTCTTTGGGTCAAAAAATATCCACATACTTACAATAGTATGGTTTCTAAAGCAAAACTAACATACAATGAATAATGAGAATTGAGAAGTATCTTAGATATATGTCAAGGGCTTCAAACGTAATGTACATGTAGTCATTTTAGTCATTTGACAAAAGAGCCTTCTATGTAGCAGGGCTTGGCCCTGGGGCTACAGTAGTAAATAAAAACAACTAATTCCTGCTTTCTGCTCCTGACAATTAGCTCCAACATTTGAAAGGGAATCTTCCAATCCCTTACAGCCCACCAATTAAAACCATCAAACAACATCCAGAAGAAAAAGCTATTCTAATCACATGGCTTAATCACAGGAAAAGTTTAGACAGTAAGATGAGCAATTCTTTACTCGAGTAAGGCAAGAATGCAAAACCATTTCTGTATTGAGGCCACAAATAAAATGGACTGGACCCAGAAAATTACTTCTAAAAGCACTGAGAGCAGGTGGGGGGTGAGGGATGGGACAGAGAACAATCTAGAAGCTGCCTTTTTGTCTTCCAGAACCTCCCCAACTAGAAGAGGATTAGGTATCATTTGTCTTCCATTCATGTGTGAAAATCTGAGGTTCCCTTTGAGACTGAGGATCAGCTCCAGATTTATATGAAATGAACAACAAGATACTGCAAGATTTTTACACATTCCCAAGTGCTGTCCAAGGAGTCCTCATGGCGGTGTTCAGACGGGCACCAAGTACCAGAATGATACACTGTTACTAACATTTCAAAGGGAAAGCACGAACACCCACCACACACTCAGCATACTCACTTAGACTGGGTCTGTTTGGTGATGTTCCGAATGGTGGCACCTTCTTTTCCTATGATGGCTCCAACAAACTGAGTGGGAACCAGCAGGCGCAGAGGCAAATCACATGGTTTCTGCTTGGTCACAGATCCTGGAGACCCCTGCCTTGAGGAGCCCCTCTGCCCAAGCCCCCGGCGACCTCGGGGCTGCTGCAGGAGGTTTTGCTGGGTGGCCATTTCATCAGGGATATAGGCTACTTTCAAGGTGAAATTCTCTAACTGAAATCCATTCAGTTTGTCTAGTGCTCTGAAAGTTGACAAGGGGCAGGGGTACAAAGAGTAATCAATCTATTTGATACATCTTTTAGCAAAGCAACACCCATCCCTTCTACTCAGCATTACTAGCTATAAATTTCTGAGTAAAGCCCCAGCACAAGCAGCAAACCCACCACACACATAATCCTCCCTCTCCTCCACCCTGCACCACCAGCACCCACACACATCTTCCTCTGAGGCAGTAACAGTGGGGAAAAAGACCACAAGTTTCCAAAGTGAACTTATTTGCCATCTACTAATGAAAAATAGAAAAACAAAAAACATTTTGTCAAACTCTCAGTTAAGTTTAACCCATAAGGTTATTAACAATTTAAGTATAAACAGCAAGAGAGAAGCAAGTGGGCTTCTTGCCCTGGCTAATGTTTCCAAATCACAGTGGAAGAGCCATCAGAAATACATACCTCCTTCACTTCACCCTCTAAAATATGAAATATTTAAAACCATTTTAAGAACCAGTGGACAAATATCTCTAAATCATTCACAACAGACTATCCTGAGTATTAAATTCTACCAATTACACTCAGTAACTATTATGAGCCAGTCCTCAAGAAGACAGGAGTCCCTGACTTTGTGGTTTATGATCTGATTTGGGGCAAAGAGGCAGGGGTGGTGATAAAGCAAAAAAAAGAGAACTACTTTCTAATCTGTTCATTCATTCACCACACTATTTGGGGAAAGTTTCTCTCTTCTTCATTCTTTTGGTTTTTTTGAGACACAGTCTTGCTCTGTCACTCAGGCTGGAGTACAGGTGCCAACTTGGCTCTCTGCAACCTCCACCTCTGGGGCTCAAGTGATTCTCGTGCCTCAGTCTCCTGAGTAGCTGAGATTACAGGTGTGCACCACAACGCCTGGCTGATTTTTGTATTTTTAGTAGATCTGGGGTTTCACCATGTTGCCCAGGCTGGTTCTGAACTTCTGACCTCAAGTGATCTGTCTGCACTGGCCTCTCAAATGCTGGGATTATAGGCATGAGCTACTGTACCCAGCTTCTTTTTAATTCTTGATCTTTATTATAACATGCAAAGAAAAGTGCCCATATCTTGAGAATAAATCTCAGTGAATTTTCACAAAGTGAACACACACATCCAGATCCAGAACTAGAACACACCAGGGCTCCAGAAGCCCCACCAGTACCGGCTTTCAGTAGTCACTGCCCCCACAACCCCTCGCAGACTTCTAACACCATACATTATTTTTGCCTATTTAAAAATTTCATGTAAGTATATACGATATATATTCTCTCATATCTGGAAACTATCTTAAGATTCATCCAAATTGTTGTGTTCTATTTTCTGTTTTTTTGTTTTGTATTCATTTCTTGTGTGTTCTATTTTCAAAGAAGAAAATAATAAACTAATAGAGAGGATATAGCCCAAACTTCATAAACATACTCCTAAATGATACATTCCTTTTTAACTCCCCAGCACACAACAAAAAGAGAGA